CCCCAAAACCCCAAAACCCCAAAACCCCATTAGAAACCCAAATCATTGAAAATCTCAGGGTTACTCTTCACCTATCCTAAAGGGATCTTCAGCCGAGGCTTCTTCAGGAGGGTTAACCTCTTCATTAGACTTTTCTCTTAAATTAGACTCATTTTCTTGCACCTCAGGGTTGGAGGAATCCATTAGTTCTTCTGCTGAATTCTCATCTTCTTCATTTCCTTTTTCATCAGATTTATTATTTTCATCAAGATACATTTGATTGAACTTGTTTACAAGTTTGTCTTCTGATGCAATATCAAAATCTTCAGAAAGTTTGTTTAGCTTCTCTTCAGGCTTAATGTTCTTACTCTCCTCAGTACGGGCTTTATCAAGCTGTTTTACAGAATTTATAGAAGGATCTATCTCTTTGGGATGTTCTAAATCTTCGTTTTCAAGTTTTTCAACTCCTTCATGAATTGGCACTGGATTTATGTCAACTTCTGGGATAGCTTTCTCGCTCTCTGAGCCCTCACTACCGATGATAAAATGGGAATCTTCTTTGGGAGATTCTTGTTGTTGATGGTCGAATGTAGGATTTATGCTAGAAATTATGAATAATCTTACCTCTCAGGATGAGCTGTTTCCTTTCTTTCTTCTTTGCCTTCTTCTGGCTGGGGTTCCACTTCTAGACTCATTAGGATAGTCTGAACATCCTCTCTCTGGAGTAGATTTCTGTTTCTATTAAGGAAGTCTTCATATCTTGATGAATCCTGTGCTGAGAAATACTCTATAGCCTTTTGGTAGAGTGAAGTCAACGAATTAATGTTCTCAATTGTGAGTTCAGTGTTCACAAGATCCTCGTAGATTGCTATCAAGTCTAGACATTCTCCTATAAATGAAAATGTTAGAAGACATTGATTTGATGGTAAAACCTACTTGATTTGAAGTCAATATTTTCAAGGAATCCTGCCTTAGAGACATCTTTTTCAAGGATCATCTTTTTGATATATTCTTTCCTTTCATATTTTCATCCAAGTGTTTCCATCCTGAAGCAGATATTGTTTATAAATTGGTCAGGATCTTCAAAAGTAAGGGTCCATTCCATCATCATGTCATCATCCCAGACAAAGCTGATGACTTTGGGGTTATCTTTTTCTCTGCGCACTTTATGTAGTCTATAAAGTGTATTCCAGCCTCTACAGATAGCAATGTCTTTATCTTCAACAGTTGGCTCTCAGACCATGAGACCAGTATCCGTCACTATTAAATATCGTGACTGGCTTCTTCTTGGTTTATGACTCCTGTGTCTGGATTTAGTGTAATCAATGAACATATTATGCTTATCTTTGAATTTCCAGACATCAAAGTTACCGTAATAGTCGCCAACATAGTAAGGTTCTCCAAGGTTGAACTTACCTAAGAATTTTCTCTGGTCGGAGGCCTCACTGATTAGTGCATCTGAGATAAACTCAGGGATCAGTTTGGAAATCTCATATAAAGTATTCGAAGGAGCCCATCTTGTCCTTCAGATATTTATGAATAAGTCCCTTTGGTCTCAGATACTCATTTGTAGAAAATTTGAATTTCACTGAACTTGCGGTCCTTTAAAGGGAAATTCACTATCGCATATAATGCTGAAATTGAAACTCTCTATGTTGTCTGGTAGTAGTTCTGACTGGATTAAAGTCCTTTCAATTGCTAGATCTACTCTTATACCACCACCTTGAAGTTCCTTGTACTGAGTGAGGTACCCTTCAGGGAGCTTATCTAACATTGTAAGTTCAGAATTGATCCTTTTTTCTTTGATTTTAGAAGCCATTTGTAAATTTTTAATTATTTTACTTCAAAAAACCCTTAGATTATTGGGGTTTTGGGGTTTTGGGGTTTTGGGGTTTTGGGGTTTTGGGG